TTCTCCACTACAAGTTGGAAAGTGGTAGGAACCATAGGCATTTCGTCCATTTTTCTTGCTTTGGAATTGGAATTAGGATTTGAATTATACGGTGTATGGTTTAGTCGGAAGAGATAGAAACGTAAATGAGTAGGTATCAAATTGTCCTTTGCCAGACAATTCGGCCCTTCTCTAATAATAGATGCAATTGAGTCATCCAATTTGTCTGTGTTCCCTTCTTAAACAGAGAAAACAAAAAAATCGTTCACACACAAACAACTCCACTTTCTACAACGTTTTAGAAAAACTTAATTAAGTTAAAAATAATTAGGAAGAAAAATCTACTCAAGGATCCGAAACAGAGGAGAGAAAAGCGATTTAATTGAGGCAAATCAAAAGAAAATAAAAACACAGGTCACTCGTTGTATCTAATATTCTCGGTTAAATATTCTTGAAATGTCACAACTTTTTTTTTAAAAATTTATTTTGGTATAATGGCCACGTACGATCACTGCTTGAAATGTCACCAAATTTGTTGTTTATACAAAGGGAATGAGATGCAGTGACTAATGCTAGGTAGATATCAATATTCAATAATTTAAATTTAAAAATCATTTGCAAGTAAACATGTAAGTTGGGGCTCTTTCTAATCGAGTTGGTAAAGAAATAATAAAGGTAATTTTTTTATTTTTTTTTTTTTCCCCCTCCCCAGAAATGTGCATATTATTGGGCAATCTAGATATCATCAACCATGAAGATAGGGACACTATTGCACAATATCGCGCGACTAAGATTTCATGTATTTTGGTGTGTACTCACATAGTTTTAAGGACTGTACACTTTAGGAATGTAATACTTCGATCCATGTCCTCTTTTTTATTTTCCCGTGACTCGATTCCAACGAAATAAGAGTTCCAAACAAATTATTGATTTGGGCATCTTTCACTATGGACCGACCTACAAGTGAAGGATTGAAATGATTTCATGATTTGGGCATTTAGGTACAAAGCTTCACTTTGATTTCCAACCATGGTTTACACTCTTTAGAAACTGTACCATATTTTAATTGAAATGAAGGTCCCAAACTTTTGCTCATTTTGTAGCTATGTCCCCAATTTTTGTATTGTGTTTTACTTCTCAACATTTTATTAATTAGTATACTTTGTCCATGTTGATGGCCAAAAAAATCATTAGGAGGAAATAAATATAAAATTTGAACAAAATATTTTCATCAAGCTAATACAATATTTGGACAAAAACCATCTTCATAGATAAGATATGTTAATGAGATGAAAAAAATATTTGGGATTATAAGTACAAAAATGAGCAAAAATTAAACCTTCATTGCAACTAAAATATGGTGCAATTAATGATAAATGTGAGATGTATATAATTACCCGATTAGAAATCCAAAAGTAGTGGACACAATTATTTTCATCTCTCTTTAATCATACTTTTTTTTTCTTTTTCTTTTTTGGTCAAATGCGACACTAAGGTGAAAATTGTTAAATTGCAATGTCATGAAATTCGTTATTTTATTCTAATGGAAGTGGATGTGGTGACTAATGGTTTAAGTATCATAAGTCATAATGTTAGGTAACTAATTTAGTATTAAAAAATCATGATTTTAGACTAACTTCTCCACTACCAGCTGGAAAGTAGTATGAACCATAGGCATTTCATCCATTTTTCTTGCTTTGGAATTGGAATTTGAATTATGTGGTATAGAGAGAAACGTAGAATTCAATTATCAATAAGTTTTTGTTTGGTGAGATTAAAATTATATTTTTAATATAATTTGATAAAAAATTATGAAATGTGTGATTAAAAAGTTATAGAACCCACGAAATATATGATTAATATTGATTGTTGATTTTGATTTAAATTAAAAATTATGAAATGTATAGCTAGACAATTGGGCCCTTCTCTAATTGAAGGTTGCAAAAAAGACTTTGACTAAAAGATTGATCAATAATTCAGTGGACCCTTCTTCAGCAGAGAGAAAAAAATTCATTTACTCCACCACAAACGCCTCCAATTTGCTCTCTCTCTCTCTCTCTCAATCACACACCAAATATCTAGTTCTAACGCAAGAAAAACTGGAAAACATGGCTGCTGACGGTG